GGGTATTAAGCTACCTGGGCTCTTTCGTTATGACATTTGTTTTTTCCTCGTGGACTTTTATTCTCATGACACATCACGTAAGTGTTGTGAATTCAGGCCTGGGGAAACAGTGTATTGTTTTAGGCATGGGATGTTGGTGGTATATGGAACCTGTTAAAGGAATCAAGTGTGCTGGACTCATAGATGCAAGGCTTGAGGCTTCGTGGTGTGTGTGTGTAATGATGCAGTCAGGTCAGACATCCAGGGGTGGGACAAGGTTGCTGGACTCTCCACCCGGTCAATGCCCAAGGGCTCCTCTCATGTAGATACGGTGGTTGCTGACGGTGCTGTCTGGGGCTGTGCGGCACAGTGGTCGGCTTCCAAATCAGTGCTCCTTCTTTCCACCCCCTTCTCTCTCAGTCTCCCTAGTTTTGAGTGGTTGCTCCAAGTGCCAGTTTTCCTAAGAGCTTGGGTTGGATCCAAGGAATGTAGTCCTGGGGGCTTCATCAGGAATTCTGCTGTAGAGACAGATGCCAGGGAGCTATGTAATTAGAACTTTCTCTGCAAGGCTGCAAGAGGAATTCTGCTCATAATGGCCCTGGGTAGGAATCCTTCTTAGAATTGACTGGGAAAACTGGGGAAGATCTTCCTGCTGTGGCTTAAGAAGGGCATTTATCTTCCTTTCTTCATTGCTTATTCCAGCAATGTGCTCATGTTAAAGTTTACCATGTGCCAATGTTACAGTTACAAAGACAAGAGCTTAGAATATGGCTTAGGAACCTGGTTTTCGTCATTCACTCCTTCTTGCCTCTTGGATTCCCCATGGAGAGATCCTGATTCCCCAGGGTTAAGCACTGAATGGAAACAAAATACTGCTCTAGTGACAGCTGGGCAAGCACCTCACACCTCCTTCCTCTCCATACTGCCTCCCATTCCTGCCAGTATTGCAGGGTTTTCTGGCCAGCTGTGCTGGGGTACAAGACAGACCAGGAAGCCTAAGCAGGTTTCCTATTACCTCCTCCCACAAAGCCAAGAGAGATCTGCAAAAGAAGCCCACTTGTTTTTCCATCCAGTCACAGATATGTGAGAGCTGAAACAGAGCTGATGAGATATATTAGACTTGGCCCACTATGTAGGAAGAGCCCTGGGCATAAGTCCTGCCCTTGAGAGTGCATGGGTACCCAGCCCATAGTAAATTATGGCCCAGCGAATGTATTGTCTCCAGTATCACAAGCTGGGAGCTGGCCTTGACTCCTTCTTCTCAATCCCACACCCAGCCATTCACCAAGTCCTACTCATTCTACCTTTAAAATATATATTTCAGATCCATCTGCTTCTCTCTATCCCCTCTCTACCATCAAAGCCACTACAACCTCATCTCTAGTATAGCAACTGCATCTTCCTAGGTCTCTCCAGATCCTCTCCGCCCCACCCACCAACTGTTATCCACATTTTTGCCAGGGAAATATCTTGAAAATGTCTATCTGGCTAAGTATTTCCCCTATTGAAGCCCTTTGATGTCATCTTGTTGCCCTTGGATAAAAACGTTTTCAGCGTTTCTCATCTTCCACCCCTCCCCGCTTATATTCTGTGTTTCAGACATGACGAACTACTTTCCTTTTTTCCAAACGGGTCATGTTCATACTTGCTTTTTCCCATGCTCTATCCTCTGTGTGGGACTTTTAACACTCTCCCTTCCTGCTTCAGTGAACTCCTACACAACCTTCATGTTCTCAGCTTAGCTGTCACTTTCTCTAGGAAGCCCTCTTCCCTTTTTCTGAGTTGGTGGTCTTCTTACCTGTTTCTGCAGCTGCAGAGATCAGGTATTGCCCTTGTCTGTTCTCTGGCCATGCTCCCTGGCTTTGAGAACAGCAGGGGCCTCCTTGACTTCTGCTGGGCTAAGCACATAGGGTCTTCCTTCCATTCCAGGCCATGTGGATTCACTTCATCTCTTTATGAGTTTGCCTATGGCAAAAGAAAAGGGGGCACTGGACATCATAATGGATGGTGTCCACAATAGCAATGATTTCTTTTAATAGGCAGACATTCCATATATTACTGGTTGTTTTATTGTCTCTCAACAAAATCAAGGGTGAAATGAAATGTCAGCTCTTTAAGTGGTGATTCTATGCTTTTAGGCTATGTCTGGAAACTCCTGTACGGAACACAATTTCACCTCTCTCCTCTTAGGGTGGAAATGCTTGAGAAACCCTGAAAAGATGTTTGTGTTCCACCTCCCCCCCCATGGATCATTAATATTTCAGCCAAGCTTTCAGCAGGAACTATCAGATGATTCACTGTAGAGCCTCTGGGGAGGGTCTAAAATGATGCGTTGTTAATTAGGAGAGAATCTGTATACTCTCGACAGCCAAATGCATCTTTTCCATTCCCAGCATTTCCTGAGCTTCTTCCCTGTGCCAGGCTCTGCTGGGTGCTGGGTTACAGAGGTGACTCAAGACCCAACCCCGCTCTTGAAAGCCTCACCCATACCTAAGATCTACAAGAATGGCATGAAGGAAATGTTAGGAGTTGAGAGATGGCAAAAAGCACAGAGACACACCCAATTACAAGGAGCAAGTGAGAATGGTACATCACATTTACACAGTCAAACCTTAGAAGTGACAGTGTGCAATGACCCCAGAAAGTGTCTCCCAGGCCATGATAGTGCCAAGGGCCAATGTGGCATTAGGAAGCTTTAGGTTACCTCCAAATCTCTAGAATCCCAAATTCTCGCTCTGTCTCCCAGGCTGGAATGCAATAGTGTCATCTCAGCTCACTGCAACTTCTGCCTCCTGGGTTCAAGCAATTCTTGTGCCTCAGCCTTCTCAGTAACTGGGACTATAGGCATGTGCCACCACACTCAGCTAACTTTTGTATTTTTACTAGAGACGGTGTTTCCCATGTTGGCCAGAATGGTCTTGAACTCCTGGTATCAAGTGATCTGCCTGCCTCAGCCTCCCAAAGTGCTGGGATTACAGGTGTGAGCCACTGTGCCTGGCCCACTTCCTTAATGATTTCTAAAGTATTATGTAAACACATTCTCAATCCCCCTAACCCCCTTCATCAGATTGTCCCTCCAAGCCCCTTGCTAATAAGCATTCTGTGGCAATCATTTCTTCCCTCTGGTTCCTTGCTAATTGACAAAAACCCAGCAGTTGATCCTTAGTTGGAAACTGAGACACACTGGGGTTGTCAAAGAGATGGGCACAACAGATTCAGACATTTGGGCTTGTGCACACACACATGCACGTTTCTATGTTCACACAGATACACAGTTCCCTATACCTTGTGATGACTCTATAGCTATATTGTTCTCTGGCTCTGACATGTCAAAATGTCTACAAGGGAGTGAGTAAGCCCCTTCTTTCTGCTAGACACTTGGACACTTGGCAGACTTTTGCAAAGCTGACCTAACAAGGCTCTGGCCCCAGACAATGGGACAATGAGGATTTCAACATTACTTGTAACAACCTGTCAGTGTATTGTAAGTGACTTCAGTACTCTGCTTCTGAAGGAAGGGTTTGTACGCTAGGAATCAGGAAGATATGTGGCGTGGAGTGATAGATGGAGTGTTTAGGGGTGAGGGGAGGAATAGTTGGGGAGAGGGAGCAGGTGCTGATCTTAAGGCCATTTGCAGTGGTGTTGGGAGCAGTGCCAATTATAATCCCAAGAGGCATTATTGCAAAAGATCACAATTTCTAGAGTCTAAATACCCTATCATCCAAAATCCAGAAAATCACAATCCCAAAAGATTAAAATCCCTAATGTTGAAATCTTGAAAGCCAAATTCTGGAAGAGGGATTAGTACACAGGATAGTTGTATCATGTAAGTTGCATCAAGTTAGGTGGAATTATTACCTTATTATTGTCTTGACACTATTACCAAGGTTATTATAACTTGTCAGTGGATTGGCCATGGAGTATGGCAATGGTAAAATCTTCAGTTTAAAGATGCGCCAGTTGTCTGCATTCGTATCCCTTCCAGCTGATGAAATTCCAGGAGTTTTAATGAATGAATGCTACACTTACCTGAAGAATCCAGCAGAGTTACTGACTGGTTCAAAAATAATTGTGCATATGGTAGGATAAGAAGCCACTTATGCAACAACGGACAAGGGGCCATTGTTCATAAATCATCCTTTAAAAATGTAAATAAATGTATTTTAAATAATTTTTTAAACATTATTTTTTCCAGAATTGAATTTTCAAGATTTTCATCTTTTAGGATTGCAATTTTCAATATTTTAGACTTTAGGGATTTTGATCTTTTGGCATTTCAACATTTGGGATCATGGCATTGGCGATTCTTTCAGGATTATGGCCTGTTGAGAAACATTAAGTTTACCCTGCCCTCATGGCTCCTTTGTGGAGGATACCTTTTAGTTTATAATCAGTGGTAGGCGGATAACAGCTGCCTACCTTGTGTATTCTGGAGTCAGGTGTATATGCTGTTTGATTACCAGCATTGTTTCTGCCAAATGTGTGGCCTGTAGATAAGTGCATTCCAAATAGGTACCTGGGTGTCCAAAGCAACATAGAAACACGGCACAGAAGATGGAAAAATCTAATGGGGAAATTGTGTTGGGGTGTATTAAATCACAGAAGAATTTCAAAAGCAGCAGTGCCATGTAGAAAACGAACATGAACATATTCTCCATGGGGAGCCATGCTCTAAAAGAAAAAAAAAAAGCAACTATTCATTTCCATGCAAGACTTCAAAACAGTTGATGACGGTAAAAGTTGGGCAGCTCTTATGGACTATCTCCATGCAATTGCCCATAATCTATCCTTTAATACACTTTTTCATGTCAAAGCTTCTTTTTCGTTTTGATTTTCTCTTTTTTTCATTTTTAAAGTTTTTCTTCCTCCACTACTTAAAATTATCAGTGTTATCTTTTACAATTTGCTATGTTACATATTTCAACTTTGCTGCATTTCCAATCCCGAGGGTATAAATTGTGTAAAGACTTTTTTAAAGAGTTCTAATTTGTTTTATTTTTTATTTTATTTTTTTTTTACAGATTTGACTCCATGAAAGTACATTATCGCAATGTTGGCTTTGTGTGTAAGCATTGTATGTGTATGTAAAAATGTGGAAACTTCCTCAATAAAGAGATGTCCTTTTTGTACATTTGCACTTGTGACAGGTAAAATTTCTCTAGAACTCAGTTCTTTGGGTGACTTGCGTATGCTGTGGTGGTGACCCATTGAGGTTCTTTTATCTGTCTTGTCAAATGACTTAGCTTGGCCATCATGATATTTCAGGTGACTGCAATTATGAAGCTGAGTGCACATAATTACCAACCATAGTGATATGTGTTTATACAATTCACTTTTTGATGATTTCCATATAAATCTGGCTTGTCTGCTTGTGACTCTGATACTCAAGGGACTGTCCTAAGCACACTTGAATGTTTATGCTCCAAAAATATGTATTTTATTATTGCCTATTTTATTGCATAGTTTATAAAGTATTCTGCCGTGTTCTTATATGTTTCTCAAATAAGTCATCTTTTAAAAATGTAAATAAATGTATTTTAAATAATTTTTTAAACATTATTTTTTTCCAGAATTGAATTTTCAAGATTTTCATCTTTTAGGATTGCCATTTTCAATATTTTAGACTTTAGGGATTTTGATCTTTTGGCATTTCAACATTTGGGATCATGGCATTGGGGATTCTTTCAGGATTATGGATTATTGAGAAACATTAAGTTTACCCTGCCCCCACGGCTCCTTTGTGGAGGATACCTTTTAGTTTATAATCAGTGGTAGGCGGACAACAGCTGCCTACCTTGTATATTCCTGAGTCAGGTGTATATGCAAAACACCTGTGTATTGATACGAATCACTTGTCAAAGATCAAACAAATATGTGGATGAATCTCTGCTCGAGGGCTAAGTCCTGGAGAGCTGTCAGCCCTGCAGGCTCTCAGGCTGTTGGTCCCCAGGATAAATCCGTTCTGTTGTGCTATCTGGATGTCTGCCTCTCAGCCCACCTGGGTGGGGGTCTCCCAACCAAGCAGGTTCTTGGTAATGGCCCAAACCTGCTGGAACGTTCCTGATGAAACCAACGGAGGTGAAAATCCTGAGTTTTCATTGTTCATAGATTTGCCTCAGAAGCATGATGATGATTAAACTAACAATAATAGCTATCACTTTTTACAACCGGGATTTTGAGGAGACACAAATCAATACTGCCTCTTTCCCTTCTGATTCTGAACCAAGACAAAGGAATGAGGAAAATGGAGTCCAATCCTCATCTATATGACTGGAGCAAGGACTTGAAATGAGAACCCACAAGGGCTTATTGACTTCCCACCCTGAGACTGGATCTTGGAGCAACCAACCTGCGGGCAAACTGGAATCTACAAAGCCACACGCTTCTCCAGGTAGGGAAGGATGGAGGAAGAGAGGCCAAGTCTCCCTCCTTGAGATCTTTGATGGGTCAGCACCCCCCCTTAAAGAAACTTAGAGGCCTGGCTCTTGTTTACCAGCCAGGTAGCTCACTCTGTCTCCCCAGGGAGTGCTAAGAGATCAGACAAGAGGCCCGGTGTGTTCAGGGGAAAGTTTCCTCATAGCAATAACTATTTAGAGTGGGGCAAACTTGTCCCTCGAATGGTCCCCGTGTTTTCGTCATAGTCAACCCATAATCAGTGTGGATGTGACCATGCCTTCAGGGGGAGATCAGTTCTTTGTAAGGACAGCTCTGTCCCCGCTTCAATAGGCTGCACTTTCCGTTGAAACCTCTGTTCCTTCAGGTCTTCTCCTTGGCCTGCTGGCAGACAGGGGAGACTGTGCCCTTGGAGGGCTCTGAATTGAAGCAAGTCACATGTTAATAAAATCATCTCCAAGGACACCCCGTCCAAGACTCAGAATTATTCCATTTCCTACCTCCTGTCCCAAATGATGTCTAGCTATGTTGCCTAATACAGCACCAAAGCAATTCTGGTCCAGCTGAGGAATAGGTGTGAGGAACGGTGTCTGCCAGGACAGGCACTGCAGGAGAGCCTTGAAGGTCAGGGAAAGCTGGGGCTGGGAGGGGCTTCTGAAGGGGCCCCCTATGCTTCCAGAGGGGAGCTGCTCTTTCAGATTTGGGGCCTGCAAACTCCATTTAGGAGAAGAAGGAGGTTATGAATGAGGGCAAACCTCTCTCTCTCTCCCTCTGCCTTCTTCCTAGCCTTACCCGCTACCCCTCTCTCTCTTCCTCACCCTTCCTGAATTAATGACCCCACCAAGACCTTTTCCAGAGAAAAACAACCAAGCCAGAAATCACCCAGCCTCTCTGACAGCCTGGCCCATCCCTACACACTCATATCTCATGGGCAGTCTCTCCCACGTGTCTCTGGGCCACGGAGAGACTTCCTGTTCATCCACTGTCAGATATGAGTTGTTAGCACTTCTTGGCAAAGGATCTTGACAATTGCCTTGGGAAGGAAAACAGCACCACGGGTTAGTGGAAAGAATGTGGCTTTTGGAGCCAGGCGGACCCAGGCTCAATTCCCAGTTCTGCCACTTAATACCTGTGTGACCCTGGGCAAGTCACTTAACCTCTTTGAGTTTCAGTTTCCTTGTCTGTAAAATAAACACAAAGATGATAATAGAGAGCTTGTGAAACTGCTTTGAAAGCCATTCAATGTGTGAAGTGTGCTTGTGAGACCCATGGGAGGTAGGTTTTAATAGTTTGGAAGATTCCATCACAGCCTAATTGCAGTTTTATCGGCCTCTTCCTTTTGATAAATAATAGGACTTATCCAAAGACTCTGAAATTATGAAATTCCCACAGAGTGTCTGCTCTGCACAAGGAAGCTCCTAAACAGTCTTCACTGGGCTTTCTAATGAATTTGTCTTTCTTTTGCTGTGAGTCCATGCCCACATCCTTCTTAGTGGTAGCTGCTCACTAAAAACATTTTGAAAATGCCCCCTCACAGTGCTCTTTCAGGCATGCTTTTACTAGACTGGCTCTGGTTTGTCATGAATTGTATGTGTCTTGAGGTTGTCTGTATGTGGTGATAGAATTGACAGTGTTAACAACAGGACATAGGTCCACAGGACACGGGAGGCTAGCTGGCCCATTGTCCTTGTGATCCTTGGTATGGGTCTACCCCGTAGGTGACTCAAAGCACCTTTGCGACTCAAAGTCTTACAGGCCAGGCATGGTGGCTCTCATTTGTAATCCCAGCATTTTGGGAGATCAAGGCAGGTGGATCACTTGAGGTTGAGAGTTCGAGACCAGCCTGCCCCCAACCTGGCTAAACCCCGTCTCTACTAAAAATACAAAAATTAGCTGGGTGTGGTAGGGACACCTGTATTACCAGCTACTCGAAAGGCTGAGCAGAAGAATCGCTTGAGCCCAGGAGGCAGGGGTTGCAGTGAGCTGAGACTATGATGCTACATTCCAGCCTGGGTGACAGAGCAAGACCCCATCTCGAAAACCAAAGCAAAACAAAAAAACAAAGTCTTCCAGACTTTGGAGGTTGGAGGGAGCTCAAGTCAGACCAGTTTACCCAAAAATCCTGCTCTGAGGCCAGATGCGTTAGAGAGAACATCTCAGTAGGTCATGTGAATGTTTCCCTGGGGGTACCGCTTAGGCTTATTGCATGCAAGGAAAAGATTTTAACAAGAAAATGCATGTGCTGAAAAGATATTGAGTAGCTTCCAAAATTGATGGAAGACCAGAGAACCAGCCCTGGAAATGCATGTATCCCAGGAAGTTAGGCCACAGCTGAAGATCCCCTTTGCCCTGAGGAGGTGCTTGTTAGCAGGTAGCCACTACGTCACCACTGCTGCCACCACTGCTGCCACCACTGGACCCTCAAGCTTCTAGCACTGAACTTACTGTCATTTGAGTTAAAGTCTCAATGTCCTCTGTGTCATTGGATTGCTTGCTCAGTAGTCACAGACTTGAGTTGGAACACCCTGTTGATACTCTCAGATTGTGTGGTCACGTTCAGGAGCCAGGGAGCCGGGAGAGTCTCCTTTGGCTTTCATAGTCAGATGACTTAATAGGGAGTTCCTCCAAAAGCAGGAAGGTGTTCAAAAGATTAATGTTAAATATACTAGAAAATTAGTAGCTTTAGTGTATTGTATTTTATTCCTTTAGAGATTTTATTTTTATTTATTTATATATTTTTTGAGATGGAGTCTCACTCTGTCGCCAGGCTGGAGTGCAGTGGCACGATCTCAGCTCACTGCAACCTCTGCTTCCCGGGCTCAAGCAATTCTCCTGCCTCAGCCTCCTGAGTAGCTGGGATTACAGGCATGCACCACTACGCCTAGCTAATTTTTGTATTTGTAGTACAGACAGTGTTTCACCATGTTGGCCAGGATGGTCTCGATCTCTTGACCTTGTGATCTGGCCATCTTGGTCTCCCAAAGTGCTGGGATTATAGGTGTGAGCCATCCTTTAGTTATTTTTAAGATTTTTTAGTTTTAGTTTTTAAAAAAATTTTTTTGGGACAAGGTCTTGCTTTGTCGCCCAGGCTGAAGTGCAGTGGCACAATCTTGGCTCACCCTAACCTCCGCCTTTTGGACTGAAGGGATCCTCCCATCTAAGCTTCCCAGCAGCTGGTACTACAGGCACACACCACTACACCTGACTAATTTTTGTATCCTTTTTGGTAGAGAGGGGATTTCACATGTTGCCTAGGCTCATCTCAAACTCCTGGGCTCAAGCAATCCTCACCTCGGCCTCCCAAAGTGCTAGGATTATAGGGATGAGGCACCAGACTTGGCCAATTGATTGTCTTTTAAATACCACTTTTAGTCCTAGAGACAAAAGATATAATTGAAATGTTCTGTTCACCCCAACACTTGGGTATAGCAGAAAAAATACTGACTTGGTCTCAATTTCTCTGTCAATTTCTTCTGTGATGTAGGAATTAAGATAACGATTCTGCACAGCTCACTCCAGGTTGTTGTGAATATCAGATGATATAGAAACATTGCAAACTGTTAAATGCTGTGTCAAAGGAGCTGATGGCATGACAGTATGGCTATTTTCCCCGCCATCTGATAAACCATTGGCAAACAATAGCACTTACATTACAAGCATTTCATTTTCTGGAATTTGGTGATGTTTGCAGGGGCATGGAAAATCGCATTCTGCAATTAAAGTATGCAATGCAATGCTGAGCAATTCACCTGAGGTTACACAGCTGGGAGGTTCAGAGCAAGGATTTACACCCAGGTCTGTCTCACTTTGAATTCTATCTTCTTTATAGGAAGCCTGGTTCTAATTCTCAAAGTTGCGTGAATTGACTAGAAGCTCCGGAAGAGGATTCTCCCCAGGAAAGAGGTAGAAGGAATCAAAGTAGGTGGAGAAACAAAAACCCATTCCTTGAATTCTTAGAATGACAGTTATTTCAGAAGAGCACATTGAGACATCAAGGCTGGAAAACTCAAATGAAAACCCCAGCCAGCCTTCCCAACAAGCCCATGAGGTATTGCACTGAATATTTTTCATTTTGCAGATGAGGAAACAGGGTGAAAGAAGTTAAATAATTTACCCAGAAACATCCAGCTAATATCTTTAAGGCCTGAGATTCAACCCAGGTATATCACCTTGGATTCTTAGTTACAAACCACAGAACCCAATATTGGTTAGTAGAAACAAATAAGTGATTTTTATAAAAGATTGAGTGACCCTGGTGAACCAAACATGAAATGCTCTCCAAGTCACAGGCTGAATCACTGAATTAGTTCAGCACCTTATACTCCTAATGTAACCACTAGGTCACTCATGCTAAAACATCTCCTATGCCTGCCTCTGAGAAATAGATGTAGCTGTTACCACTCTTGTTTAAACAAATTTTTGAGCATATGGCTTCCTCAGAGGGAATAAATTAGTCCATCGAAATGGACTGTTTCCTTAGAGTGGGAAAGTGTTCCGAAATGCTGGGGTGTAAAGACTTTGTTTATTGTTAGCTGAATTCCTAATGCCTACGAAGTGCTTAGCATGTAATAGATGTGTCATAAGAGCATATCAACTTATTGATCAAATAATTCTATCCGATTTTAAAGCTCATGTCCCTAGACACTATACCTCTTCACTATACATCTTCATAGATGGTCCATGATGAGATCTAACACAGAATATGTGATTGCACACCAATGAAATTATATAAAGTCTCTATCCTATATAAAACTATCGTCAATCGTTCACCGAAATGTGCTGTTGTGATTTACGACTACGAGCTCTGAGAGACAAGGACATATCTATCTTGTACCATTATATCATTCATTTTTAATACAAGGCTAAAAATAATTATTAAATAAATGAGTAGAGTGATAAATGAATGAGTTTAAGAGGCAAGGTAGTCAAGATTTGGGAATGCATGCTAAGGTGGTGCCAAGGATGGCATCTCAGTGTTTAGCCTGAACACCTGGTGGGAGGGGGGCTGACATTTACTGAGCACGGGAAGACAAACAGGCTCTGGGAGGGAGATCATGAGTTAGTTTTGGACTTGCTGAACTTTTATGTCTGGGAGACATGAAAGTGCAGTGTTGAGTGGCTTGCTGGATAGATGGGTCTGGAACTGAGGAGCAATGTCTGGAATGGAGGTATAAATTTGCGAGTTGTCAGTGTTGAGCTAGTAACTAAGTTGCAGTCATAGACATGTAAACATATGATATATACAATACATGAAACTACATATGAATCTAAAAATATTTAAATATAAAATTAAATACATGCATAAACCATGTAAATAGTAGAATTGTTATTCATAATATTCAGGAACGAAGAATACATAACATTAGACTGAAAAGTTGATTACTGATTTACGTGGAATGGATACCCAAATGGTAGAGATTATACACTGGAGGTTGGGATCGTTTAATCTCCCAGCAGTCTGCCTTCCAGGACAACATAAACACAGAATCAGTAGTGTGTCTGTGTATCAGAGCTCCTCCTGCTGTGTTACTGGACAGGGAATGTTAGGTATTTCAGACGATGTTCGCTGTGTCTTAGGCATTTCTTTTGTCTGGGAACATTCTGGGGAAGGAGCACAAAGACAGGGCAATGGGAATGTGAAGCTGAGACTCGGAAGGAGGCAGGCAGGAGGTGCACAGGGAAGCCTGCAGAAAAGCTCTGTGGGGACTGAGTCTCATTGCCATCCAAGGAGCCGGAGCCTGTGACCAGAGAGAATCCTTTCTTCTGTCTGTGAAAGGGGAAAGGTGATCAAGAGGTTAACACTGACTCTTCCCAAGCCTCATAGCCTGGGAATGGGCTGAGAACACCTGTGGTCTGAGGTCCTAGCGATCTTTAATTACAGACCATTCATTCATCACTGTGATTGAAAACAATTGTGGATTTAGACAGAGCTCAAACCCTTGCCCTGTCACTAATTTACTGAGCAGCCTTTGATAAGCAACGTATTCTCCCCGAACCTCAATTTACTCACCTTGATGGAGGGAAAATAATAGTATAAGACACATCGTGTTTTGGATATAGTGATTATCTTAAATTCTTATGACAAAGTTGAATCCAGCTCTGCCACCCTGTTACATGGGTAGTCGCTGGCAGGTTTTGGATATGAAGATGATAAGCTCTGATTTGCTATTGAAAAAGACACCCCTGATGCCCTATGGGAGGTCAGAGTGGACACCAGGGGATCAGATAAGTGGCTACTGATCCCCTGATGTCCACTCCCCTAGTGCAGGCATGGAATGACGGTGGATCAAGATAGAAGTGAGGTAGAGGATGGAGAAATAGGCATTTCTGGGTTGTTGTAAAGATTAGTGTTTATTAGGAACTTAATAAACAATAGTTAATTTAATAATTATCATTATAGTTATGACTTTCATCCTTAATAACACTTGTCAATTGCAGAAATGCATTTGGAAATATGGCAAAAGCATGCACATTTTTGTTATTTATGATGTATTAAATAAATTCTCATATAGTGCTTACTTGGCTCTATACTAAGAACTTGTTATCAGTCAGAGTTCCCCAGAGAAACAGACCCAAAAGGAGATAGATAGAGATTAGTTAGATAGATAGACGATAGATGATAGATAGATAGAGAGAGATAGAGAGATGAGTTGGCTTACATGATTATGAAGATTAAGTCCCAAGATTAGCAGTCAGCAAGGTGGAGACCTGGAAGGACCAATGGTATAGTACCAGTCTGAGGCCAAAGACCTGAGAATCAGATTCAATTGATGGTGTGAGTTCCAGTCTGAGTTTAAGTCCAAGCATCCAAAGAGCCGATGGGCTAAGTGTTAGTCAGAGTCGATCTGAAAGCAGGAAAAGGCTGAGGTCCCAGCTTGAAGACAAGCAGAGAGAGAATTCTCCCTTTTCAGCCTTTATCTTCATTCAGGCCTTCAATGGATTGGATGAGGCCCACCCACATTGTGGGTGACAGTTTGCTTTACTCAGTCTGCCAATTCAAATGTTCATCTCATCTAGAAGCCCCCTCACAGACACACCCAGAACAGTGTCTAACCAAATATTGGGCACCCTGGGGCCCAGTCAAATTGACATATAAAATTAACCATCACGGCACTTTACACTCATTGCTTACTTCTAACACGTCTAGTATCCATCTCCATTTACAGAAAAGGAAATAAAGGCTCAGAGATGTCACACAGCTAGTAGATGGCAAAACTGGGTTTCAACCCCACATAGCTTAGGTCAATATTAAACCCGGGAAAAAAAAGGGCAATTCTTAGAACCAGTTTGTGACCAACTCTGTTTTTATGCCTCCTGCAGTAAGTAACTGGCTTGGAATCTCCTGCCAGGGGATGGAACGAAGCTCCTGTACAGCATTCAGTTGCCTCCTCTATACCCCAGGGCCATTTAAGGCACGCCTATTTTGATAATGATTATATGAACATTTGAACTAATGGGCATTTGGATTAAAGGTATCTTGGAAAACTTCTTGTAGTTCTTTGGAGTATATGGTTTCACCTCCAATCAAAACTTAATAATGAAACAAAACAAAATTTAAAAAAATCTAAAACTGCCAAGAGCTCAATTAGTCAGGGCAGACCTTACAATACCAAATCAGGTTGTGTGCGCACTGGAGGAAGCCTGATAAGAAAACACCGCCTAGGATGATTTCTAATTGGCAGCGAGAAAAGAGCCTGAGAACAATAGCTCGGCGGTGCCAAGTCCCTTCACATTTCTCACTAAATCAATGTCTTTTCCCCATCCGGAATGCTCTACCCTTCTGTTGACCCACCCATTTATATAATGACCTTTGGGACTTGGCTGAAAAGTTAGCTCCTGCTAAATGCCTTTCCCACCTATCATCAATGTGCTTGGAGTTGACGGATGGAATCCTTACTCTTTCAGTGAGGGTCTGTTGGGTATCAGACACTCAGCTAGCTGCTGAGAACACAGTGGTGGGCTAGACACCATTCCTGGCCTCCCAGAGCTCAGAACTTTCTGTGATGATGGAACTATTTTATGTCTGTGTTGCCTTTCATAGAAGCCACTAGCTGTGTGTGGTATTGAGTGTGTGAAAAGTGGCTAGTGCAACTGAAACATTGTTTTAAATTTTAATTTTGCTTAATTTCAATTGAAATAGCCACAGGGGGTAAATGGCTACTGTATTGGACAGCACAGATCTAAAGCAAATGTCTGATAATCAAGAAAGGACTGCAGCAACGTCTTCAGGAGCTGCGATGGAAATCTGTAACAGGAGATTGAGGGAGGAAACCAAGGTTTGCTGCTCAGCTCTCCTGGGCAAAGTTAATGTCATTTAGAGCAGCAGTTATGCAGAGCCTCTGGAGTCAGCTACCTGCATTCAAATTCAGGTGTTTTTTTTTTTATCTCTTAATTCCATGATTTGAGGCAAATTACTAAAATCCTGTTTCACAAATGATGAGTCTCAGTCTCAGACTCACCAAGGCCGAGGGGAGTGGAGCTGGAGAAAAGGCAGGTTCAGGATGTGGCCAATCTCCCATCAGCATGCATGGCAAGGTCCACACACCATTAATTGAAATGGCTCTCCTTGCTGAGAATCACATTCCAGCCACACTCCCCATGGGGCTCATTCCTATCGCTCACTGGCATGTATATGCCCTCGCTTCAAAATAAAATTGTTCTATTTTTAAAATTTCATTACAAAATATATTACTGACCATTATTAAGAAAAATACAGAAATTGTGAAAAATTATAAAGAAGAAATCACAAATTCTACCAACTGGAATTTCAGGAATCTGGTGAATATGCAAATAGTCCTATTTAAAGATATGTACATTTACATAAGTGAGAACATGGTATACATTATGCTCTGTAATTGCTGCTTCACTCAATAATTTACTGTGAACATTTTCCTGTGTTAATGTAGAACTTCATAAGCACTTGGATGACTACTTAATATTCTTTTGTACCACTGAGATAGATACTTAGATTGTTTGTAATGTTCCCTGGTCTTAAAACATCGTGTGATGAACATATGTTCTTATGTGCTTGTGCAATGATTTTCATAGGATACATTATCAAATGGGGAATTTCAATGTCAAAAAATACATTAAAAGTTTTGATGGTTAATATCTACCCTTCAGAAAGTGCTTACTGATGTATGCTCTTTCATAGCTCATGAGACGACCCCTTTCCCAACATCTTGTCCAAAATTAGGTTTTGTCAATCTTGCTAATCTTTCATAGTCTGATGGGTATGTGCAACCACTTAATATTTTTTAAAATCTGTAACCCTTTTTAATTGTTGATTTGAATATCTTTATGTTTATTTGCCATTGTTTTTCCTCTTTGAATTGCCTATTTTTATCTTTGTCATACTTTTTCTATTACTATGCTCAGCTTTTCCTATTGATTCTGAGAGCTCTTTATATAACCTAATTTATTTGTTCATTTTTGGTTTTGAGACAGAGTTTTGCTCTTGTTGCCTGGGCTGAAGTGCAGTGGTGTGATCTCAGCTCACTGCAACCTCTGCCTCCAGGTACGAACGATTCTCCTGCCTCAGCCTCCAGAGTAGCTGGGATTACAGGCACCCACCACCATGACCGGTTAATTTTTGTATTTTTTGTAGAGACCAGGTTCCACCATGTTGGCCAGGTTGTTCTTGAACTCCTGACCTTAGGTGATCCACCTGCCTTGGCCCTCCAAAGTGCTGCGATTACAGGCGTGAGCCACTACTTCCCACCTTTGTAAACTTATTTAGCCATTTCTTGAACTCTGAGCAATAAAATCTATGTCTTATTTGTTATTAAAAGAGAATTTGAAGTGTGGTTGATAGTATTAAAGCTCATAAAACAGGATCATTTTAATAAAGAGTGTTTGAAATTACTTAGGAGAGATATACCTAGGTTCTTCATTTCAAGAACATATGACAATTAGGTTCTTAGTTTTAAGTCTACATTTCCTGGAAACCAAGTCAAAGAAGGACACTGATTGTTTTACATTTTTCATAGTTTAATGAAAGCAAAGATGGAAGGAATTTTCTTTCCTGAGCCTAATTCCTAGAAAGAATCTTCCTGAAGAAGTCTTACGTTAGGAGAAGACAAGCATGCGTCTGGCTGGTTCACTATTCTGCAAAATGCTCTACATATGAAGGAGGGAATGACTGACCCAGCACAGTCCTGGGGTACAACTTTATGGAGTGTCCTCCAACTAGGACACAATGTGACAGCAGTGGCCCCTGGAACACATGCACGAATGAAAGAAGTCCCATATGGGGAGCGTTTCCCTTGTTCTTAGGTTGTGATTGTGGGATCAAAGGTTTTAGAGCTGAGAATCAGGAGACCAGGGTTTCAGCCTCCACTTTGCCACATATGACTTGGAGACCTGAGGCAGCTCACAACCTCTCTTGGCAGTCATCCATGTTCTCTGGCCATTTAACTCAGGGCCCACCAGCTAAAGGAGACCAACTTTAACCTGAACTTTCATTCCTGTTTTCAGTTGGTTCCCAAAGTTTCAGCCTCTCCCCACCTTCTGTCGGTGAGCTCCTCCGTAGTTTCATCATGGGGCGTCTTGAATTTATTGACCTCTGCAGCTTGCCTCTGCTTCTGCACCTCCCAGTTCCTTGATCACTTCCCTCTGGGAACGTCTGCAAAATCTGACTCTCCTTTATAGTCAACTACTTTTCTCAGCTCTATGACCAGCCACTTGCTGCCTTGGAAGATGTGCTTCTTTGTATCCCTCTTAAGTGATGGCTCTTTATTCTCAAATCTTCCATATACTGCCAGGTTTGGAGGTGGGCTGATAAAAATCTTGACCCTTTGAGCTACATTCCTCCTAAGTAAATAACTTTCTTCTTCATTTTTGCCAGCTACTGGCCTCTTGGACATTCCCTAAACACATTGACATCTTGTTTACTATCTTTCCTTCTCAAGTCCTCACTTGTCTGGAATGATTTCAGTTCCTTGCTATTCCAACTTCCACTGATTTCTTTTCCACTCCACATGTGCATGTGTCTTCACAATAGAACAATTTATAATTCTTTGGGTATATACCCAGTAATGGGATTGTTGGGTCAAATGGAATTTCTATTTCTAGGTCCTTAAGGAATCCCCACACTGTCTTCCACAGTGGTTGCGCTAATTTGCACTCCCACCAACAATGTAAAAGTGTTCTTATTTCTCCACATCCTCTCCAGCATCTGTCTCCAGATTTTTTAATGTTTGCCATTCTAACTGGCATGAGATGGTATCTCAATGTTGTTTTGATTTGCATTTCTCAAATGACCAGTGACGATGAGCATTTTTTCATGTTTCTTGGCCACATAGATGTCTTCTTTTGTAAAGTGTCTGTTCATATCCTTTGCCTGTTTTTGAATGGGTTTGTTTGTTTTTTTATTGTAAATCTGTTTTAGTTCTTTGTAGATTCTGGATATTAGCCCTTTCTCAGATGGGTAGATTGCAAAAATTTTTTCCCATTCTGTTAGTTGCTGGTTCACTCTATTGATTGTTTCCTTTGCTGTACAGAAGCTCTGAGTTTAATTAGATACCATTTGTCTACTTTGGCTTTTTTTGCCATTGCTTTTGGTGTTTTAGCCATGAAGTCCTTGCCTATGCCTATGTCCTGAATGGTTTTGCCTAGGTTTTCTTCTCGGGTTTTTATGGTGTTAGGTCTTATGTTTAGATCTTTAATCCATCTGGAGTTAATTTTAGTGTAAGGTGTCTGGAAGGGGTCCAGTTTCTGCTTTCTAAACATTGCTAGCCAGTTTTCCCAACACCATTTACTAAACAGGGAATCCT